ATTTAGGAGCCAAGACCAGCCATTCTTAAGGAAAAGAAGCTGGGATGAGCTTATAAGTTGGGTGGGCCTACAGCCTCTGTGGATCTCCAAGGTGGGTCACACATTGTAAGCTAGGTTGATGGAGTCTCAGATGTGGCACCAGCTTGCCAGCTCTGTGAGCACAGGGCTCAGCAAATGGACAGTGGTCTCTGCTCTCCCTGATGCCAGACACTTCAGTTCATCCCTGTATACCACTGGTGCCCTTCAAACTGCCACTCTGGTGCTGTAGCTCAGGGAGCAAGTCTGAGTAGTTGAGTCAGTGTTTGGGTTCTCTAAGAGGAACTTGCTTAGGGCTTCAGCATCCTCCTCCACCAATTCAATCCCAGGTGGTTTTCACAGCCAGAAGTTGTGGGGAATTATCTTCCTGGCATTGGCACCCTGGGCTGGGGGGCCTGGTATTGGTCTGGAACTCCTCACTCCTAAGATATCTGTCCTGAATTTTTATCCACATGGGTGTGGGGCCAGTCTATGCTCCTCTGACCAGTCTGTATGGATGTAGTTTCTTTAATTCTGTAGTTGTCAGACTTCCATTCAACTCGATTTCTGATGTTCCCAAGTGATGGTTGTTCTATATTGTACTTGTAATTTTGATGTGGTTGTGCAAAGAGGTGAGCCGGGTCTGCCTATGTCACCATCTTGACAAGAAGCTGTGCAGTTTTTAATTACATCAATTATACCTCAGTAAAGGTATAAAGAAGAAATAGTCATGAATGATATCTCAAGTTGTCTTAGTCTGCTTAAGATGCTGTTACAGAATACCATGGACTAGGTGATTTAAACAACCGAAATTTGTGTCTCACAGTTCTAGAAGCTAGGAAGTCTGAGATCAGGGTGCCAGCATGGTTGGAGTCTAGCGAAAGCTCTCTTCCTAGTTTGCAGATAGTGGTCCTGCAGTATCTTCACATGACAGAGAGAGAGAGAGAGAGAGAGAGAGAGAGAAGTCTCTCCTGTCTCTTACTTATAAGGGCACTAAGCCTATCATGGGGGCTCTACCCTCATGATCTAATCACCCTCAATGGTCCCACCTCTAATTGCCATCACATTGGAGGTTAGGACTGTAATAGATGAATTTTCAGGGACACAAGTATTCAGTCCATAATACAAGCCTAAACCAGTAAACTTGTGTAATATTTAACAGGGAAGCAACCTTTTTCTCATTGATAATAGAGTCAGCAGCCAATAGTGAAGATGAACTGCCATAATGTGCTTGGGTTTTCTTCCCCTGCCCTGTGTGTGTTAAATATTTGAGAGCAAAAGAGAAGAATTAAAGATACAATAAAATACATATATGGTTTACATACAGATACATCTCATGTGAAGAATGCATGTGTTGAAAAAATACAATGAAGGTTAAATTTTTAAAAAGAGTACATGTGTTTCTATTAAATTTGCCCCTTTTGGTTTTCTAATCTTTTTAGTACTGTTACACACAGAAAAGTGTATCAATCATAACTTGTGGATTTGGACTAAATGAACACACTTAGGTACTCAGTGCAGGTCAAGAAAGAGATTTCACCCACAAAACCCCTCTTTGTGCTTCCTTTGTGCCCCTCTCCAGGCACTGTCTCCACCGAGCACCCTATTCTTGGTGTTGAAATTCTTGTACTAGAGACTAATTTTGCTTATTTTCTTTGTATCATTGATGCCACTGTGATACAAGAGAATTTTCAAAATTTTAACATGTAATCTCACTATTCCATTGATACAGGGTACAAAACACCTCATATTTTGACAAGTACTTGCAGAAAAACTAATTCTATTAAAATGACTCTTCATACTTTTACAGCAAAATGGTTTTGGTCTCATGGAATTCTACAGACTTTGCCCATTTAATTTGAATCTTATGATAGTTGCTGGCCCTTAGTGGAAATTTCCATTGGTATATATACTATAATAGCTTACTAGTTGTAAATGTTTTACTTTGTTTGCCTGTAGTCCATAATAAGGAATGGAAAAGAACTACATAAGCAGCAACTGTTGGTTTTCCTTGACTGATAAAATGTTTTACACAAGTGCTTACAGTTGTCAGAGCAAATGTCTGAGACAAATATAAATTCTGTTTTTTCTTTGAGAGGAAGCTTTTGCTTTTGCCTTCATGTGCAGTTTTGAAATTCTGCAGATTGTGAAAGCAAGCAGATTTTCCTAGAGCAGTGATTTTCAACCAGTGTGCCGTGGCACCCTGGTGTGCCACAAGAATTTTTAAAATATGCAGTACCTGACTAAGTAGTCAGGGGCACTGACTCTTTACCCTTAGAGTATCAAATAAAAAATGACAACAGCCAACACAACAATAGCCATCCAGTGTGAATAAATAAAAATTATACCTATTTTTGTCAGATAGGCAAAATATATATTTTTTGGTGTGCCACAGAATTTTAGTAATTAATTTAGGTATGCTATGACATGAGAAAGGTTGAAATTTGCTGGCGTAGAGTGAGATGACATTTCTCTACACAATGTTGCATTTTTTTGCCCAGTGGGCTATGGCTGGTGGGAGAGACCACACCCATGCACACTTTCACCCATATGCAGCATCTCTATAAAATGAGATTAACTTGTGGTTAATTAGCGAAGGGTTCAGGAACTTATGTTGGTCAAGGTTTAACAACCAACTCTCCAAGGAACATGGGAAAAGAGGGCTGATTTGTCATGCTTGCTAATTTCTCTGGTATAAATTCTGCTACCATGGCCAGTTGTAAGCAAGCTGCATTGGATCATCGAAGATGGGGTTAGGAAGAGAGGTGCAAAATTGGCTCTCAAGCTGTACACAGCACACTGATGTAAGGAGGCTGCACAGGGCAGGAGAAAATGCACACTTCTCCCTCAGCTCCTCATGGGCCTCAAAGTTACCAACAGGCACATAGTAGCCACCAACACTGTCCACACAGGTAGGGCTGCTGGTTTTGGGAAGCCCTTTCTGGGGGGTACCTTTTATACTTATGTCAGAAACAGGACAAACTTACACAAGAATGCTGTGCTCTTAACACAATTGTCACAGGCAGCCAAGATTACTCCCCAAAAGTCTGCATTTTGTGGATAGCAGCATAGAAGCCAAGTAGTGCCTGGAGGATCCTGGAGCCATGATCTCCCTCATGAGCTCTCCAGCTTCCTCTACCACTCGCCCCTCACTCACTCCACGAAGATCCCTCCTTGATGGTTCCCAAACATGCCAAGCATACTGCTACCTCAGGGCCTTTGCATGTGCTATTTCCTTGGCCTGGTACTGTTCCCCCAGGTGTCTGCATGGCTGACTCTTTTACCCCCCCCACCCTTTTTTCTGTTCAAAAGTCATCAGAGAGATGTGCCCTGAACGTTGGGCTTAACATCATGACCTTTTACTCCACCTTAATGCCAATCCCTGCTTATTTACTTATTTTTGTAGTACTTTTCACCCTCTACCATGTTATTAATTTGCTGTGCAATTTATTGCCCATCTCCCTCATTCTAATGTAAGAACCCTCAGGGCAGGGACTTTGTTGTTCTCTATCATGTCTTCAGTGCTGGTACTCATAGTAGGTACTTAATCAACATGTATGAATGGATCTTTTCCCACTGGGAACCATCCTCCTGCTGTTTCTGTTCTCATATCCCTAGGATGGCAAGAAATTTGTCACACAGTTGCTCGTGGCTGTTCTCCTAAGCCGTATACTCAGTCATTTGGCTCTTACACTTTTTTTCTCTAGGGGGCTTAGCTAGTTGATTATTTATAATATTCCTTAGACTAACCAAATGTACTTTCTTTTAAATTTTTTTATTGTTCAATTATAGTTGTCCCCATTTTCCCCCCATTACGCTCCTCCACCCTACCACACCCACCTCCCACATTCAGTCCTCCCCCCCATTGTCTTTGTCCATGGGTCCTTTATACATGTTCCTTAATTACCCTTTCCCATCTTTCCCCATTGTCCCCCTCCCTGCTCCCCTCTGGTCAGTTAGTTCGTTCTTCATTTTCATGTCTCTGATTCTATTTTGCTCACTTGTTTTGTTGATTAGGTTCCACTTACAGGTGAGATCATATGGTATTTTTCTTTCACCACCTGGCTTATTTCACTGAGCATAATGCTCTCTAGTTCCATCTATGCTGTCTTATTTAAAATTTACTGTTGTTATGTATTAATATTGTAATCTATGGCTCTTCTGAAACTGAGATTTTGGACATTCCTTCTGAGGCTGATTTTGTGCAAAATTTAAGGACAGGGAATAGTGGTGGAGGGAGAGGACAGAGTTGTTTTTTAAAAGCATGAAAATCCGGTTAGTCATGGTAGGCTAACTGCTAAAACAAATAGCCCCCAAATAGCAGTGTATTTACATGAAAAAAGTGTATTCTTGTCTCATGTCCTATGTAGGTTGGCTGGGTTCTATTCCATCTTGTACTGAATGAGAAAAGATAATATAGAGTACTTATGTGGAGGGTGCTATGAGCCAGGCCCAGAGCTCATGCACACCCCTCCTCTCACATCCCATTGGTCAGAATACATACCATCATGTGCCCCCATCTCGCTTCAAGGGAGGCAGTAAAAAACGTTCTAGCTATGTGCCCAGGGAGAAAAAGAAACAAAGATTGGTGAACACCGACTGGTATCTTCCATATTCTTGCTTCTCCAAACATTTTTTCAGGTCATTCAACTTAGTTGGGCTATTCTCATGCTCATTTTAGAGTTTTCATGATATGTTGATAGAAGTTGAAAGGCCAGTCACTGTGTACTTACTATGTGCTTATTGTTTCTATTTCAAATTTAGATCATTTGCTCTAAACTGGGTTAGAGATAACAAATGAATTTTTGTTATCTCTAGAAACATTAGAAAATGTTTCTGGTGTTCCAAATTATGGCAAATATATTGTTCTTTCCCCTACACCTCTATTGAAAGTAAAATAGCAGAAGTTATTGACCATAGAATTAAACCAAAAAACAATTCTTTGCGTGGATCAAGCTACTGACTTTTGTATTTGATCCCTGCAGCAGCAAACTCTTAAATGGAATTTCACAGCCACTTCCATTAAAGGAATAAGGTAAGATCATAAAGGAAAATGTAATTATTTTTTAAAATATAGATAATGATAATGTTTTATTGCTTTAATATTTCCGCTTATTTATAACATGTAATCTTGTAATTTTTAAAAGACGCCAAAATGGACTTTTCTCTTTCATTGCCCTATCTGAGCTCGTTCATAATGTATTGCTAGTAAGGACTTCTTGTTATAACAGAGTAGCTTTTTTGGTATGCAACAGACCAAATTCTGTTGTCTCAAGCATTTTTTAAAAAATGAAGTTTTATCTGCAGAAAGAGAAAGTGTTTCTTCTTTGATCCAATAATGTGCAAGTATTCAGGGACCCCCCCCCCAACCCTTCCCAAACTAAAGCTTGGAGTTGCTTGGTAATGACCCTTGGCTGTGGTCTCCTGGACATTGTTATTAATGAAGGAGTGGGGCTGTGTGTTCTAAGGACAGGTGTGATGCTCGCTCTTTGGGTCAGAAGCAGTGATTATTTGAGCCTAAACCACGTGGCTACACTCTTGAGTCTCACCCTGCCAGCACATCTGAGAGTAGGTGCAGGTCTGAAGTAGATATGGCTTGTGATCCCTCTTTTGCTGTTTAACCTTGGAAAAGTCACTCAACCTTTCTAGGTCTCAGTTTCTTCTAGTTTCTATCAAAGTAGGGTCTTGGACCGCTGCTCTATATCCTTTCTCTGATTGAGTCCATAGGCCACTGAGTGAATTACCTGTTATCTCCAGACACAGTATGATCCTGTCCTAGACACATCAGTGTTTAAATTAGGATAATGTTTATGTTGCTTTAAAGGAAGAGAACTGACTTAAGAACAGAGTAGGGCATTTGAATAATACTATTCAGAAAAATAACATAATTCAAAAAACATTGAATGTTTTCAAAAATTTATTACTTAGTAACTAAGTTGTATGAGAACATATAGTAAATAACCTTCTGTTTGTACCCTCTCATAGAGATACCTCTTGCTGCTATGTCAGCCATCAACAGGAATGTGCAAAGGGCCCAGGGTGAATCAAACACTGGGACCAATGTTGACATGAAGAACATGTGTTGAACATTCCTATTGCTGTTCAACTAACTAGTAGTTCTTTATGGCTTGCTTTTCAAAACTCACTCATATATAACCTAGTCTTAATTCTTTTTGAATCACCCTGTACAGCTTGAGCTGTGCCAACTCAGTATTTGTTATGTAATTCATAATATATGAAGAGTGGTCAAAGGAGCTATGGATCTCAGGAAGAGATTATTTAGAAGGGCAAAATGAGGGCCATTGTGTGGCTTTGGCCCAGTGTGTTGTGTAAAGAATTTTTCAGCAGAGAACTCCATCAGTAGATGGAGTGTAGTGATTTTTTTTGTCACTGGATATGTTGAGACAAGCTTAATTACCTCTTAAGACAGAAAACTGTACTTGAACAATAATTAAATTAAAAAACAAAACAAAACCAAAAAAAGAAGCTATAGAGTCAGATCCAGACCTTGGTTAGGAATGGGCCAGGTAACATTTAAAAGCCTTTCTTGAACTAAGATGCCATGTTTATTTCTCCTTCCCTTGTATAGCTACAGATATTGTGTCCTGATATTTTTAAGTCTAGAAATTCCTTTATTATGATCAATTATTTCACAAATACCTTTCCTGTCTTTTTTTGTAAAATTATAAACTCTTAAAGACAGAGACTATATTTTATTTCCTTTTCTGCTTCCCATATGCTTTGCTTAGCACTGAATACTTAGTAAGTTCTTGATATAGTCAGTTAATGAATACAAACTCAAATATAAGCAAGATAAATGTCCCTACTATTTAAATTTCATAGAGAAATAAAAGTCAAATTTGGGGGATATTTGTTAAAGCAAGAAATCTTAAAAATTTGTGAAATGGAAGAAAATCTGTTACTAGATTTTTTCAAAATTTTAAAATTAATATTGTAACATATAAAAGAATCATCCTTATGTTTTACATTTTTACAGCATATCCCGTTTTGATGAACGATATTGTTTTCTTTTTGTCAATGGCAATTCTGATGACTTTCAAATCTACTTTTCCACCAAAGAGCACTGTAGTAGGTGAGTTATAGCTGATTCAAGTATTTACAATATAATTATGGTGAATCATTTAAAAAAAAAGGTCTTTGCTGTGAAAATATTTATTTGCTCTACTTCCTTTCCTGAAATTTTAACTTATGGAAAATTATTTTTACAGCTTTTTAAAGATATGATATGCATACCATGCAATTCACCCATTTAAAGTATACAATTTAATCTTTTTAGTGTGTTTACAGTTTTGCAATCATCACCACAATCTATTTTTAGAATATTTTCATCACTCCCAAAAGAAACCTAATATCTATTACCAGTCACTCCCCATTTTCCCTCTAACCTTAGCCCCAGGCAACCATTAATCTACTTTCTATCTCTATGGATTTGCCTGTTCTTGATATTTCACATAAATAAAATACAATTTGTGATCTTTTGTGACTGGCTTTTTCCACCTAATATAAAGTTTTCAAGTTTATCTGTGTTGTAGTATGTATCAGTACTTCATTTCTTTTTGTGACTGAATAATATTCCATTGTATGGATAGACCACGTTTAATTTATCTGTTCATCATTTAAAGGCATTTTGGGTTGTTTCCACATTTTGGCTATTATAAATAATACTACTGTGAACATTCGTGTGCAAGCTTTTGTGTGGACATGTTTGCATTTCTCCTGGAGCTAAATTTCTGTTTTCTTATGTCTTATAGTAACTCTGTTCAACCTTTTGAGGAACTGCCAGACTTGTGGAAATTTCTTTAACTTGTACAATATTCTTCCCTGTCATCTTATCAGAGTCAAATCACTTGTAGGCAAATAAACTACTACCCAAGACTAGGAAGTGGCTGATATGGCCTAGCAGCATTTGTGAGAAAGATATATGGGTAATACTTGATAATTAAGCTTAATCTGTGTCAACAGAATGATGAGGCCACCTTGTGCATTTTCTTCTCATACCTCTCCTATGTAAGACCTTATTTCTCACCAATAACTGGAGTGTCTACAACTTAGATGATGGTCCCATTGTCCTTAGCACTGATTAAATCATTACTAGAACACTTGTCACAGGGCTAGACTTGCAGAGTATTACAAGGACACCTTTGAAGAATTATCTGTTAGTGGAATGACTCACAAACAAATCCTGGCGGAAACATTGAAAGGGAGGAAAGACTTATAGGGACATAATGAAATTACGTACTTTTCTAATGGGCTGTTGTGTAGAAAGGGGTTCTAAGGGAAACCTTAGTTCAGTATAAGTGAAACATTTCTCATTGAGTTTTTCAAAGAATGAGCTGCCTTGTGAGGTAATGAGTTATTTGTCCCTGGAGGTGTTCAAGCATCAATTCAGCAACTGGTGGGGATGCTATATAGAGGGGATCCAAGTATCATATGGGTATTTGAACTAGATTAGATAACCATTAAAGTGCCATGTGAAATCAATAAGTGGATTGATTGTTCCCTGAACTCGTAAAAGGTTGGTTTATATTTAATTGCAGTTTAATGTAAAGGTAGGGAACAAAAGTGATCATAATTAGCAGCATTTTTGTGACATTTGCTGTTGTAGGTTTTGCTCTTTGGTCAAAGAGATGATAAATGCAGAGGACAATACAATGGAAGTAGAGGGAGAGATGGTTGAGAACATCTTAGAGGTGAGTCATGGAAGACCTAGAACATGGAAAAAGTTATTTATTGTATTTTTGATGCTTAAAGAAAATGTCCTATTTTGTGTGAACATTTTTATATGTATATTTAAAAATACTCAATGAATGAGCTAACCATCACTATCCATGACTTTCAGAGATTAACTTTAATGCCTCTCTATAAAAAAACTTTACTTAGGGATCCTCTCAGCTAAGATGTTTAAGAAAAATATGTCATGGACTAGACTAAAATTTCCTTTCGGGCACAACCTCAGGAAAAGTTTTTTGTCTAAGCCAATTAATAATGTTTGTAAGATTAAAAGAGAAATAGTTGACCAACTGGAAGCAGGCTTTTTCACTTATGCCTACAGTGACTTTAGTTATAGCTACTTGCACATAATATATTAAATATAACAGTTTAAAAATCATTTTTGAGAAAGTAGGATATCATAAGCTCTTTTGAATAGCACAATTGTAGTCCATCATTACACATATATTTAAATCTTATGCAATTATTCAGATTTGCCATTAATTCAGGTTTTCCCAATGATTACAATTTAATGAAATTTTATAATACTTTCAAGTTAGACTGAAATTAATTCCTTGAGGCCTCTTTCAGGATAATATCAAAGAGGTCATTTTAATAATAGAGTTAGGTACTTGAATTCCTAGCTTTGAATCAGAATTTATTGTAGAAATGAACTGAGTGATGTAGTTTGAAGATAACAGATGTGGGGCAGAGAAAGGTGTAAGATAAAAAGCCTCTATGGAGCAGGCTGAGGATGTCTGCTTTAATTGGACAATGATGGGGACGCATTAATAAACTTAATTGTCACGAGCACCACTAGAAGTAAATGGGAAGAGACATGCATGCATGTTGTTCTGTGCACTTCTGTAACTCGACACAGTAGAGCATAGGAAATGACAGAGAGTCTGTTGCTGCTTCTGCCTTACATAAGTATTGCTCACCCTAGAGTTCCATTTGTTTTTGTTTTTTAGATTTTTATTTATTTATCTTTAGAGGGGAAGAGAAGGAGACAAACATCAGTCTATGGTTGCCCCTTGTGGGTCCCCTGCTGGGAACAGGCCTGCAACCCAGGCATGTGCCCTGACTGGGAATTGAACTATGATCCCTTGGTTCGCAGGCCCGTGCTCAATCCACTGAGCTACATCAGCCAGGGCCCATTTGTTTTAATCCTTGAGAAGAAATAAGTAGAATGCAGCTGTGCACCAACTTTTGATAAGTTTTGAGGAACAAAATAGCAATCCTAATTGTAGGTCAATTTTTGTGGTATGTGTAACACTAGGTTTATACATGTAAAGGTGGGGGCAACCCCACATGCGTGCTTTGCATTAAGACAATTTCAATTTTACTGACCTTCAATTATTTTCTGGGCTATAGAAGGAGGTTTGTCGACTGACAAGCTGATAAGAGATCATGCAGGAAAACACTTATTTGGGGTAGTTGACATGCTAGGAAGCATTTTTAAATTGCAACATTAAAGTGGGGAGAATTCTTCAAAAGGTGAGCTAACTAAATTCATATGAGCCATATTTTTAAATTTCTTGGATTCCATTTTATAAAATCATGTTATGAATATGTGGGTAACTGAGAATTCTACCTCTTTAAAGTAAGTAAGTAATGAAAAGAACATAACCTAAGAAATGTGACCTGCTGGATACTCAAATAGCATTATTCATAAGTTTTTAAAAATTGCAGGACAATGTTTGGGCTTTTGCGGGGGGCTTCTCCACAAGTAGTGTGCTTTTTTAAAAATTCTGCTTTTCCTTCTTTAGTATGAGTATGACTACGATGCAAGTGGTAATCGGGTTATACTGGGGAGAGGTGCATACGGGATCGTGTATGCCGGAAGAGATCTGAGCAATCAAGTACGGATAGCTATCAAAGAAATCCCAGAGAGAGCGAGCAGGCAAGTGGGGCAGACCTTCCACATTTCTTCATTTACCACTTCTACAACCTAATCCTGTGTCCATCACTGACAGTGCAGATGATTTAAGGATGAAAGCATATGTCATAAAAAAATTGCAGTTCTCTTGTAATAAGGGTGATTTATGTTTGTTCTGTGCATATTATAAATGGATTGAGGAAATGAGGCTATTTGATTTAAGAGCAGGTGGATTACAGTCATATTGTAAAAGAAAACTGGTCTTATTTCCACCCATCATCTAGGTCTGCAGTTGTACATTTTTACATAGTTGTTTGCAAACATTTAAAATGTGACTCAGTGTTTTAATTTGCATTGTAACCATTTTAAATGGCTATCATTTATTCAGCTATGTCACTACAGAAAATTAAATGTGGTTAAAAATTAGATTTTTGCCATATAGACTTCTTTTATACCTAGCCCTTCAACATCACCCATAGATTTTGGGTTTATTACAATCACCAGTAATACTAACGCAATTTCTTCAGCATTTTTAGAGTCTAATTAAATGCTTACTTCTTTTTAACTTCATTTACCCTAATTCTAAACAAGTGCTTTGCAGTGCCGATTGTGAAGTTTTTTTGTAGAGAATCTACATACATAGTTAATAGCCACAGCATAAGAAATAATAGCTGCATGCTCCATAGGTCTTGTCAGACCACATCTGCAGTGTTGCCTTCAGTGATGGACACTGATGGCCTTGTGCAAAGACCCCTCCACCAAGGTGGTTGGTGAATTACGAGGAATGGCTAACAAGTGATTTCTAGCAGCTCTAAGACCCTTCACCATTCACTGGTTCTTTCATTCACCTTCATTTCATTCCATTGACTTATTTTTAGTGGGATTGCATGTTATCATATCTAAATTATAGGGCAAACTCTTAGAGGAACTCATTCAACTTCTTCTAAGGTTGAGGAAGATAAAATGGCTTCATTAAGGTCACAAAGAAGTAAGAGTAGGATTCACTCTCTTGAATTTATAGTTCAATATTCTGTCTCTTATTCTCACAATGGCTAAGGTGTTGCAGTTGGTTTTTTGGGGAGGATTGCAGGCATGTACCACCACCTTCAGCTGATTGCTATAGTTGTTTCAGCTTTTTATTGCTGATAGTTGTTCCTAAGCTTTAGAGCTAGAAGGGACCTTAGAGACTGTTTTGTCCCATTTCCTAAATTTACAGGCTGAACTTACAATATTAGGTACCTTCTCTGTGGTAGATTCTGGGCTGGCACTGGTGTCTGAAAGTTTACTATGATACTATCCTAATCCCAGGGTGCTCCCAGTTTGGTAGGGAATGCAGAAACCTTGCCTGGGAGCCAGAGTGGTAAGTGTCATAATAGAGGGGTACACCAAGTGTTTGTAGAACATAGGAGAAGAATGAATTACTTCTCCTGGGTGAGTTGTGGCAAGTTTGAGAAAATAAATAAATATTGAGGCAGTCTTTGAGGGATGACTAAGAGTTCATTTGGTGGAAAAGGAGGCCAAAACATTCTTTGCTGAGTGAGGAACAAAGCTAATAAGCACAGTGTATTCAGAGAACAATGAATTGTTTTGACTTGAATGTAGGATGTAGATTAGTGAAGGGTCTTGAGATGAGGCAAAAAATTTAAATATGTAGTCTCACCTGAGTTTGAAGATCCTGTGTACCATGTCAAGCAATATGCTCTTTATGTGGACTTTGTGAAGGGAAGTGAAATGATGAGGTATATATTTTAGGAAGAGGGAATATGGTATCCAGGGATAGAATAGACTAAAGAGGCCAGAGACTAGAACAGAAACATGCCTTAGGTGACTTCTGCTGTAGTCTGGAGTGAGTCTGCAGAATGAGACCAGAAAGCAGGAAGACATAACCTTCTAGAACAGCACCCTTCATGGGGACTGGTGAGAGAAGTCAAGGATGGTTGGAGAATTCAGGCCCTAACAAACACTAACAGTAGTAACAACAGCAGCCATTTATTGAGTACCTGCCACTCAATAGGCACTCCACTGGGTGCCTGAGAAATTTGACACAATTTGGCCCTCACCAGCCCCATGTGGCTGGTGTTATTACTGCTAATTTACAGATGAGAAACTGAATAGGCTCATGGGAGCCAAGGGAGAGGTTTCTAGAAAGAAGGGATGACCAGCATCAGGGCAGGTACTGGTCATATGATGTGGACCCTAAGCCCCAGGGATTTGATAAGTGACACTGGGTTTGTTTTTCCTACTAGGAAAACCCGGTCTCTTCATGAGGAGATAGCCCTGCACAGGCACCTCAAGCATCGCAATATTGTTCAGTACCTGAGCTCTGTTTCTGAAAATGGCTACATTAAGATATTCATGGAGCAGGTGCCTGGTGGTGAGTAGTCACTGGGTCTGGTCTGACACTCTGAAAGTCACTGATGAAAATGTAATATACACGTCATTATCCATCCTGCCATTTAAAAATGACAGACCTCTCAGATGTTGAAGAGCATGTACTATTCAGAGGAGTTACATGAAAACTTTCCATTGTTATGTAAACAGTCTATTTCTGGTTTGTTAATTCAATCATCAAATATTCATTGAGGGTCTACTGAGTCCCTGCCACTGGCTGAGTGCCGGAGACAAAGATGCATAAACCAGTCTCTGGTCTTGAAGCCTTCACAGTCTAGGAGTTTAAAAAGTGGTTTGGACATTGCAAAACAATATGTTGACAGTGAAGTCGAACACCAGTGCTTTATCTACAAAATCCCCAAATGCAGCAGTATGGTGCAAGAATAAGACGAGTTCCTTGGGTCCAGAGCCAGATTATCTAATTTGAATTGGCCCTTTCATATGCAAATTATGTAACCTCAGGCAAAATCTTTATCTCACTTTGCCCTCAGTTTTCTGATTGACTAAAGGAATCGTAAAATTGGAGTAATAACAATTACTATAATTGGGTCTACCCACTGCTGGAATTATACCCTAAGAACCCTGAAACACCAATCCAAAAGAACCTGTGCACCCCTGTGTTCATAGCAGCAGTATTTATGATAGTTAAGTGCTGGATGCAACCTAAGTGCCCATCAGTAAATGAATGGATCGATAAACTATGGTACATTTACATGATGGAATACTATACAGCAGAAAGAAAGAAGGAGCTCCTACCCTTTGCGACAGCATGGATAGAACCCGAGAGCATTATGCTAAGTGAAAGATGCCAGGCAGTGAAAGACAAATACCATATGATCTCACCTTTAAGTGGAAACTAATCAACAAAACAAACAAGCAAACAAATTATAACCAAAGACATTGAAGTTAAGAACTGACAGTAACCAGAGGGGAGGTGGGAGGGGATAATGGGGGGTTAAGGGGGAAGGGTTTTCAGGAACATCTATAAAGGACACATGGACAAAACCAAGGGGGGTAGGATCAAGGGTGGAAAGTGGGGATTGCTGGGGTGGGGGGTTAGGGGGAAAATGGAGACAACTGTACTTGAACAACAATAAAAAATAAGATAAATATTTGGTGTAGTAATAATTGCTGGAGTACTATTGCCCCTTTGTGGGGTTTTGAATGGATTAAGTGAAAATATATGTGTAGCCCTTAAAATGGTGCCTGGCAGAAAGTGAGAACTCAGTAAGTGTTCATTTAAAAAATAAGAATAATAAAATAATTATAAGGAATAATAGTGATAATTATGATCTCAATACAAATGTACAAACTTCATTCAACTCATTCAACCAACAATTATTAAGAGCCTACTATTATATGAGGAGCCTAACTATGTATATTAAGAACCAGACAGTGGGCATGATTTCAAGGGTTACATTAAGGAGAAATAAAGTTGCTTCTTCCCTCAGTTTGCTCACAGTCTAGCAGAAAATATGTCAGTTGCTGTTCACATTAATTGATATTCCAGGCACGAGGTTTAAGGATGATAGTAGATATCTGCATCACCTTTTGCAGATGGGGAACGAAGGCATAGCTAGGTTCCCCACATCTTTGGGTAAGAGGGAAAGCCGAGACTGGCCGATACCTGGGAGCCTGCACAATAACCTTTGAAACAGATGACCAGAATAAAGTGAGTGGAGGTTTACTTTGGGCCCAAAGGTTCAATGTTTAATAGTATAACTGTAGGGGGATTGCTAGGACGGCTTAGTCCCTATGACCTGGCGTTGGGTCTTCTCACAATGAGGACTGAGAGATCCTGGTCCCTGTCACCCTGCAGTGGTCCTCCCTCTGGTCCTATTCATCTCTGAACTCAGGGAGAGGTGTAAAATGTGGCTTTGACCCAAGCTGAATGGCTGAGACACTTGTCCAGGATGTACAGTGTTGGACCAGCCCTCCCAAGGTCATAGAGCATTGCTGCACTCTCCTTCTGACTTTTTGCAGTTGAGTAGAGCTAAACCCAAAAGTGGCTCTGGTGAACTTCCAGGGCCACAAAGGAGTTCCAATTCACCCTCCACCACCTCCAGTCAGGCTGATTCCCTTCCAGTTCCTTCTCTGGCTGTGGTGCTCACACATCTGGGAAACAGGCAACAGAGGGGGAGTTAAAGACGTTGCATTTAGCCCAGCTATAGAGATTTTGGCATGAGTGCTTACATTAGGATAGAAACATCACCTGACTATATTTCTCTGAACTCTTAGAATTGAATCTTCATCACCTTGATGAGTTTTCTGCTGTATCCATTTCCAGGAAGCCTTTCTGCTCTTTTGCAATCAAAGTGGGGGCCATTAAAGGAGTCCACCATCAAGTTTTACACCAAGCAGATCCTGGAAGGCCTTAAGTATCTCCACGAAAACAAAGTTGTGCACAGAGACATAAAGGTACTTGCTTGTCTGAGCCAAAGAGGTCTTGTTAGTAAATCTCAGATCACACCAGCTGCGGTAGTGTCACCAAAGGGAGAGGACTGAGTATGACAGTCCCCAAAGTATAGTCTGGGCTTCTTAGACACTTGTGACTGTTTCTTAAGGTCCAAATTTGTTTTGTGTTTGTTTTTTGAAATGACTTTAAATGTTTGATATTCTTCCTTTTTTAAAGGGTGATAATGTTCTGGTGAATATCTATAGTGGAGTACTGAAAATCTGCGATTTTGGAACATCTAAACACCTTATAGGAGTGAATACTTGTATGGACACTTTTGCTGGTAAGCAAAACGGAGCTTGGCATGTGGGGAATTGATCATTGAAGTGGAAGGTGTGTTGTCCCCAACTTCAGATTGTTTGAACTTTGTCATAATGATGCACTCAGCCAGCTACTGTGGCAACAAGAGTACCTTATTTTCTTCTTTGCCTTCGAAGGTTGGGTGGGTGTAGGACTCTGCTTGAGGTTTTCTGAGGGTTTCTAACCAATCAGCAAACTGGTGGCATTTTTTTTAAGTTAATAGTATGTAATTTGGAATTGTGGGTAATTCTGAACAACAGTATTCCTCAGACAACTTAGTAGGACATTTTATTAGTCTGTCATAGAAATAGCCTGTTATTTGAGTGAATTCTGGTACCTTGTGCTTTGATAGGATTAAGTTTCCAAGGGCAGGAATATGGTACTCTTAAGTGGGTTTGAGGAATTGTAGTTTCTCTTCCATGTGTCAGTGATGGATCATTTAAGTGTTGAGAGGGACCGAATTGACAAAGTGGTCTAAAACTGCCAGCTAGCTTTCCATCTACAAGACCAATGAGTAGAATGATGCTCAAAGGGTACCTATGGTTTTTTTAAACTCCTGCTTAAAAGCAACTATAGCAAAAACTTTCATCCTTGGAAAGAAGTACTAATTTTGAATAAATGAAGATTTATTATCCCCTAATGAATAATAAAAGGATCACAAAGATCATGCTTGATGGAATTATGAGACAGTGCTTGTGATTATAGCTCTGAAATAAGCTATAAAAGCCAGATGACTGTTCTCTGTTCCTATAACACCAAAGTATACAGTGGACAAATTTGGCCTGAGCTTGGGAAGACTTTTCTTCAACAAGAGAGTTGTTGTATGTTGGCCATTGGACGCCCACAGTAGAGACACATTCCCTTTCTAGAGGGAACTTTCATGCATCAGCAATGACTCCTCAGTTGTAAACCAGGGGAGGTACATGTACCTCAAAATGGAAAAATATTACAATAAGGACTCCATCATAATCTGGCAAAGGAAGAGTGTGTTGAATTTTCATTCATTGTTTCTGATATAAATCTACATGTATCAATGGGTATATGAGTATGTACATATGTATGTATGACTGGCACATTTTTTTTACTATCTCATTTGAAAATGACTTATATCCTCCTCTTTGGAAGGTACCATTTAGCTTGGCAATATGTAGCAAGAAGGACTCTGATATGACAAGAAGTTATTTCAAGACATAAAACCCCCAACAATTTATCTGATAATTAGCATGCCCAAGGAGAAAAAATTCACAAAGACGTGTATAATTCATTATCGCGTATCACATTTCCCCAATTAATTGGCTTGAGAAGGCATGGGTTTTGCATTGCAAAATAATTCAGGAGTGTTTGGGGAATAATAAAGAAGTTTCATTTTGGGGAAGAAATTCCCTTGCATATAATTACTGTTAACAAAACAGAGCAGTTCTGTAAAAACATCTTAGCCTGTTGGTGGACAAGGCAGGCCTTTTCCACACAAATGCCAGAGGCTCTTGGAATCAGGAAGGAGAGTCATAGGCTTCTGTCAGCTTCTTGGCCTAAAACCCTCTCTTCACATGTTCCTCTAAAGGGTTTTCATGTGTGTGTAAACAAGCTAGAACAGAGGAAGGGCCTTTATAGCCAGGGTCAACTCCCTTTGCTTTTGTTTATTGGCAGTGTTATTGAGGTATGACTTACATACCATAAAATGCACCCATTTGAAGTGCACACCTCAATGGTTTCTAGTCAGTTTTCCTAGTTGTGCAGCCATCATCACAAGGTAGGTTTTGAATGTTTCTATCATCCCCCAAAAGGCCCCTGTGCCACTTTGCAGTTAATCCAAATTCTCACCCAGCCCCAGGTGAGCGCTAATCCATCCTTTGTTCGCATAGAATTGCTCTGGGGATTTCACAGAAGTGGAATAGTATAGCGTATCTAGTCCTTTGCATGGAGCTTCTTTCACCACAGTCTTTTTGAGGTTCCCCTGTGTGCCTATGTTAGCACTTGGTTCCTTTTCTGACTGAGTAGTCTTCCATTGTGTGGCTAAACCACATTCTGTTTATCCACCTACCAGTTAGTAGTCACTGGGATTGTTTCTACTTTGGGGGGCTGTTGTGAATGACACAGCTGTGAACTGTTACATACAAGCCTTTGTATGGACATATTTTCATCCCTCTTGGGTCGATACAGAGGAGTGGATGGAACTCAGGACAGGAACCCTGTTCTGGTCTATGGCTGTAAACATCCTTGGTTCAGATTCATGCTCAATCACTTGCTAGCTGTGTGGCCTTGGGCATGTTATTTGACCTCCCTGTGCCTCAGTTGCTTCACAAGTAAAACCTCATAGTACCTACTTCATAGAGCTTTGTTGAAGGTTTAAATGAGTTAATATTGGTGAAGTGCATTGAGTACCTGATTCATAGCAAGTGCAACTGAAATATTTGTGAAATAAGTACTACTTCACACATAGAAGTCACAGGTTATTAGAGCCAGTAGGAGCCTTTGAGAGAATTAAATTTGGGGGCATAACTCACATGTTAAATGTATTGGACTCAGAGGGTGTAATCAGAACAGCCATTTTATTTTTGTCTCCCACTGCCCTTTATATCCTGCCCAGGGCACCTGTCCTTTCCTGTGACTTTTCCAGCCACCATTAGATAAAAAAGGGAAAAAATGTTTAGTTTCTTATTCATTTATTTGCACTTTTCAATGACAGTTTACATTTAATATTCTGTATCATGTTTAGATGTTCAGCATAGTGGCTAGAAAATCATGTACTTTAGAGGGCATGGCAGTATCTGTAGACCCTATGGTCCCTCACACTGTTGCTCTAAGCTGCTTTTGTTCCCATGGGAGCCAGCTATCTGTGCAGCTTACCTGCAGGGGACACATACATATGTAGCTCTGAGTGGGGCCCAAGGAGCCTACAAAAGGCTTTCAGGAGGAGGAAGTGGGTCCCCTTTCTCCCAGGGCCATCCCTTGGGCAGGGCAACTGAGTTAGCCCTGGGGCTGTGGGAAGATGCACCTTACTTCTCATTTCTGTGCTTCGTTACTATTAAATTTTGAAACTTTGGGCTTTAACATTATTTCAAGGGGCCCATGGAAGATACTAATACATGTGGTCTCCTTTCAAGTGTGATTATGCTGAGTTGCTTGAGTCACTATAGGCCCACACTCTTCTGGGGACAGCCCTTCCCCAATTCCTTTAATGAGAGAGGGTAGACCTCCTGGCACAGTTCTCTCTGAAGAAGTCACTTTCAGTACATCCCACCTCTAGTCTCTACTCTTTCAATTCTTTGAACCCCTTAATCTGGGTGGGAGGCCCCTGGGTCAGTAGCTGTAGTTCCTCTGGTCACCTTTTTTGGAGCTCCACCCCCCGCATAGATGTCGGTACCTGAGAGCCATGGCTGGCCAGGTGACCAGTGTGTGGGCACACCTGGGGTTAGGAGAGTGCACTTACAGAGGATATGAAGCCCTTTCGCCTCTCTAAAAGAGCCATTTTTAAGGCAAGCAAATGTTCCAGGAGTTCTGCATTATTCAGATACCCCCTATGGCGTCTTCACTTGTTTTTTTTTGATGGAAGCCAGCCTTTGCTACAGCACGTAGCATGCACACCACCCAGGGACAACCCCTTGACTGTTTGAAATAGTCACATGGCTCTATCTCTGGGCTGTTTATAGGGAATAGATGGTTGCCCTAGGAATGCTGTAGTAAATAAAATGGAGCACCCAGGTTCCCACTGTTGCTCTACACCTTCTGATCATATGGAAACAAGTCACATTATCACTTTGGAAATCCTCACATCAGCTCCTTTTATTTGGGCAGCTTTTCCTTTTCACTTGTGCTTCTCCTAGATTCTTTACATAGATCAGCTATGTCACAGTGCATAGCTGCAAATCCGGAGAAGGGAGACCTGGGTTCTAGCTTGAGCAAATCCCCTGGCCGCTCTGTTTCCTTAGATGTGAAATGGACATAACAGTAGATAGTGCCTCCCTGGCCTAACTTCACGGAATTATGAGAGTCAGGTGGACAACACTCCATGGAGACACTTTGTCAGCCATTGAGTGCTAATTGGAAGTCTGATGCTGTGGCCAGTAGCCTTCATGATGGGCCCCCTCAGTGATTCCCACCTCCTGGTACTCACAGCCTTGTGTACTTTCCTCCTCTTAAATGAAAGCTAGACTTAGTGACTCACTTTTAATGAATCAAATAAGGCAGAGTGATGGTGTGTGACCTGGAGGCTAGGTCATAAAAGGCAATGGGGCCTCTCTCTTGGTTGTTCTCTGTTGGATCACTTGCTCTGGGGGAAGCTATGACTGGGGCCACCCTATCGAGGATTACACTAGGAAGAAACTGGAGGCTCTTCCCAGCCCCCACATGAGTGTGTGGGCTTGGAAGTGGATCCTGTATTTCCAATTGAACCTTCAGATGACTACAGCCCCCACTGACATCTTTGCTGTGGTCTAAGATGAGACAGCCTGGGCCAGATCCACCCAGCCCTGCTGTTCCTGGATTCCAACAGTCAGAAATTGTGTGTGATCCTAAGTGTTGTTTTAAGCTCCTGAAGTTTGAGGTAATCTATTATGTAGCAATAAATAACTAATATGGATGTCATCGCTAAGTCCTTGCCTTTAGAAAGAGTGGTAATCACTATGATTCCCTATGAAGAAAGTCTTCCAACTTATCATTAAGCAGTTTAATCCTCTAATCATGAAATAGTTGTACTAAGGTGGACATTTGGTTGACCAGAGTCAATAAGCCATCGCATTTTGGTTTATGCTATTTACTGTTGAATAATTTGGTGAGTTTAGTCTCTTGCTCTTTTTCAGAATTAACTTTTAGTAAAAAAAAAAAAGAGAATTAGCTTTTAGTGATTGTGTTAGTCAGGGTCCAAGCAGGAAAATTGAAATCACCCCAGGTATTTTTACAGGGACAATTTAATAGAAAGAACTGTTTACTGAGACTGAGTTATCAGAAAACAGTCTACAGCCCTAGGCCTTTGTGGGGTGTGCACAGAAAGGTTCAGACCTCTCATGAGGGAGTGGCTGGAACAGGGTAACCCTGAGGGGGAAAGATGAAGCTGGTTCTGGAATTATAGTCACACTTCAGTACTCATCAGCTTCAGAACTTGTCAAGCCCTGTACTCATCACATTTTGATGAGAAAAAAATGTTTCAGCACTTGGCACTTGCTTGGGACTAGGCTAGAATTTGTATGAGTCACAACACTGCCCTGCAAGAAAATGCTTTATCATTCGTGTACTCATAAGTTTCAGCACTTGTTACAAGTTCCAAAACGAATTAACGACAAGTACTGAGGTACAACTGTATTTGGATGGTCAAGAAAGCTAGAAACCGAAGCCAAGCGCTATCACTGGAACTTGCAAAGTGAAGCTTTGCTCAAAGGAACAGTCAGCAGATGAGGAGCAAGTAACTAATCTTTTCTTCCTCCTTCCTTCCAGGCTCTCTCACTCTCTAGTGCCACCTACTGGCAGAGTCTAATAGGGAGCAGCTGGCAAAGCAGAAATGTGGTTTGTAGACTCTCAGATTCAGCATCACAGAACAGAACTAAGAGATAATAACTTAAGAAACAGCACAGTGTCAAATATTTCCTTAATGAATGAACTAGGGATTAGTTAGAAGGCACATTTCCTACCAAGGCCTCTCCCTTGGTGCTTCATAGCAGCAGGAGCCTGAAGGGGATGCTGTAGCACTGGAAGTTCCCTTCCTGGGACTCTGGGAATGCCGAACAACACAACAAATGCTGGCTTTTTCACCTTGCCCAACCTCGCAACCATCTGAACACTTGCCCACCAGGCTTTCAGAGCTGGGAGACCAAAGCTGTCATTTCTGCCCCGCTGCTGTTAGATTCACTGATCCAACACAATTTGTATTTAACTTTAAAATAGTGAGAATTAAAGACTGTTTTTACCATTATAGATTAAAATCTATTTCTTCATTCTAACCAGCCACGTTTCAAGGGTTCAAGAGTTATATGTGGTCAGTGGCTACCATAATGAATAGCACAGAATAGAATATTTCCACTATTACTAACATTCTATTGGTCAGAGTTGTCCTAGACCCCCTCAAAGGCTCATAGGAAGGAAAAGTGCTACTAAGACATTGATCTTCAAGAAGAGGATGTAGCAGGCAGCATCTCCATACGGTTTTTAAACCAGTGAATCTTGGCCCATGACACCTTGGCCCACGTCATCTCTGAGTTTGCTGCTTAGTATAAACCTCTTTGCCAGCACATAATGTCTGCTGTTGTTGTTTCTGCCCTTCCCCTTTCCTCAGGCTTAGTTTCTAGGAAAACCAAAGATTTTACTGCCAGAACCCTTGGTTGTCCTCCCTGTTCTCCCTGTCTGATCACCACCTTCCCTGTGAAAACTTCTGGTGGCTCATGAGCCACAGGAGAAATGTCCAAAGCCTTGGAAATACATTTCTACACCCTGGCCACTGCCTCCTTTGTTCTTCTCACTCCTGCCCTATGTCAGGCATCACATGTGGTTCCCTGGACTCACCTGTACTTCACAGCCATGGGCCTTTGCTTAATCTCTTCCCCTTGCTTGGAAGTCCTCCCATCCTTTTGTTCATTTCTTTGACCTTTGTGGCAGGGGCCTGGTTCACTGGCAGCCTCAGCTGCTAGCCCTTTGGATTTGTCACAATGTTCACGGGAGGTCATGCTTTATCCCAATTATTCCTAGCCAGGGGGGTACTAGAACAAATATGGGACTCTGCCAGTGGGCAACTTTGGGATTCTGCACTGGCATGGCTAGAGCTATCTCAGAGCTGCTGTGCCATCTGAAACCCTTCCTACTCAATTCTTCATTCATCCTCTCCTTTCCCAGGCATTAGGTCTGCATTGCAGTTTGACAGCTCCCCCTGCCTATCCTGCTCCCTCCCCTTTTACCCTCCACACACCTTCTCCCCAATAAATCTCTCATAAGTCTAATCCTATCTTAGCATTTACTTCTCAGAGACCCATACTGACCCAGCCATATCTTTCCCTGGTTCAAACCAGGCAGAATAAGCAAGTTGTTATCCATATTTTTGAAGCCCTATGTGTACATACCTGTTATAGTACTTGTAATATTTTACCATTGCCATTGTCACCACCATCATCATCACCATGTCTACCTCCTCCACTAGGCAGCTCCCAAAGGTACTGCACTATGTTTCTTACATTGTGGTGTCCCTCTATCTGGTGTGTGTTAATATGTACTTATTAAATTTGGCCCATTTATCTTTCATGGGGCTGAGTGACCCTCTCTCAACATGATTAGTATTAAAGGAAGACATGTTGCATGTCTCTGGTTAAAAGATGCAACCATATTATTTATGCATAATAAGACCAGGCCCCATCTGTCATTAATATGAGAGTTAAAGTTCACACTCTTGTTTACTAATGATCTGCTTAGTTTTTATACAATAGTGTGCCCACAGTGTGTGTTTTCTTTTTTTCCAAAAGGCACTCTGCAGTACATGGCACCTGAGATTCTCAATCAAGGACTTCGCGGATATGGCTCCCCATCTGATATCTGGTCCCTGGGCTGCACCGTCATTGAGATGGCCACTGGCAGGCCTCCATTCCATGAGCTCGGTGATCCTCAAATGGCATTGTACAAAGTAAGACATGTTTGGTGATTTAGGTTGCTGGTGTTGGGGAAGTGTGATGAAAATCAAAATGTCCTCCCAATCCAAAGATAGAAGAGAAAGGAAACAGTTTTATTGTAGAACAGGCATTCAACCAGATGTGCTGTGCATCATAGGCAATCTGCCAAGAGATGACAAAGACAGAAATAACTTTCATCCTTTTATTGAACCAAGCAGTACAACCCTTTCCATCTGTGTTCTCAAGAGAAATGCTAACTAGCTCTCAGGTGCGAGGGCTGGACAGTGCCATTGGTCACAAGAGCTCACCAGGCATTCATTGGGGTGACCATCTCTGTTAATAGGCTTTATCTAAAGGGAAAATAACCTCAGATCTTTAAGATAGGTGGTAGTTGTGAAGAGAGGTGCCACTGAAGTTGGCTTCTGGGTCCTCGAGAAAAACATTGCCGGCGAGAGGCTTAATTATCTTTTAAAAATGTTAGCATATACCTCAAAGAGGGAGAATTTGCAAGTTTTCTAAAGTAAATATTCTAAGAAAGGAAGGATGCCTCTTCCCTTATTTTTGCAGGAAGAATTAAACCTCTTATTTTGAATCTGTATTTGCTCTTATACTGGGTAAGACTCAAAGTCCACATGGGTCTGTATCTTTGGAGAACAGGTTTCTGAGTGAGTTTAGGACAGGTGGATCTTTGAGTATCTGGTTGTCACTCTGAAAACCCTCCCAGAATTAATTTAAAACATTACTAAATAATTTAAAATCGTAAATAAAACCCTTCCACAGCTGACAGGAAAGGGCGACCCATGCACACAGAGGCCCACATAGAGGACCATTGGCCACTGTGGGTGGGGTTTTACCACTGGGTATGCTCCCTTGAGAATGTGACATACTTGCTAGTGACTCCAAGGGAACCTGATGCTAGGAAAGCCCTGGGTGTCCAAGGTCAGGTTTGCAGCTTCTGTCTCTTATACTCTTGGAAAAGTTGAAGAGGGCTATAGTCTTAAGAGTCCATTACCAGCCATGACCTTGCATGGAGCTTTTTTGTTTGGTCCAAGGCTAAGAAGGAAGGTCAAAGGACCAAAGGTCAAATGGCCACTGCTTATGGACAATGAGGTTGCAGTGCATAAAAGCAGCCTGATGTAATGTGATTCTAGAATGTGATTTCTTCCTTCTCACTTCTCAGCCCACCTGCATGTCTGCTGGGCCTCTAGCTCAGCCTAGTTGCCAGAAAGAACTGAAAAGCACAAGTTCAGGTTTGTGCTCATGAGCCAAGTCCAGCCCATGGTGCTGTGAGTGCTGTGGCTGCTTTCCTCAAGCCCAGCCCCTGCAGAAGGTTCTCAGAGCTCCCCACCCTCCCAGCAGCTGTCAGGCAGCTCTAAACCCAAGAACTCAAGTTGACAAGTTTCCTTTGGCATCTGCAATCCCAATAAGACCCTGACTACCAGGACTGGAGGACAACAGAGTTCTCCCCTAGCCCTTCATGTCTATATCCATGATGGAGCCAACTGGGGCCATTGAAGATATTATCTGCTGCTTCAGTCACAGGCCTCAGAATAAATAGTAGCTGGTGCTGAGAAAAATATCAGGACCAGCCTGAGAGCCATGGCTGGCCACCGTCTGATCTGCTCTCAACTACCTGCAACACTCAGGAAACCCATCTGGAGGCTGTGACTTGCTCAGTTCATCCATAGGGCATGAGTCACTCCCCTGTATCTCTTCCTCACATTTCTGGTTAGCTAATTAGCTATACAAAGTCTTTGAAAATATATTGAGTTTTTAGGTTGGCATGTAAGGTCAGCTTCTTTTGCAGACTCGAAAGCTACTATTAAATAATGCCTCCTGTATTCTCTCTGCAAAGACTTTAGAAATCATTTCTGGGACCCCTACTATCCTTCAGAAAAATTTCAAGAAACTTCTGGGTAGTGTCGAAAACAAAACCCATAAGGGGGTCCCTGCCTCCAAAAGTGGCTGTTACGGGTTTAATTGTGTCCTCCAAAAAAAGATATATTGAAGATCTAATCCCCTAGTACCTCAGAATATGACATTATTTGGAAACACAGTCTTTACAGAAATAAGTTAAAAAGGGATCAGTCACATGGGCCTAATCCCACATGACCGATGTCCTTAGAAAAATGGGAAATTTGGGCACAGGCACAGACACTCACAGAACATGTAAAGAGACACAGAGAGGTGGCCATGTGAGAGTGGAGACAGAAATTTCAAGCCAAGGAACACTGAGCACTGCCAGCCCCACCAGAAACTGGAAGAAGAAAGGCAGGGTTCTCCCCAAGAGAGAGAGCTTGGCTGACACCTAAGTTTCAGACTTTTAGCCTTCAGAGCTATGAGACTAGATTTGTTATTTTAAACCACCCACTTTGCCATGGCAGCCCCGAGAAACCTTTGAGTTAAGAGCGAAACACCTGTAAAAGTAGTGTAGTTGCAGGGTGCCAGGGTGCAACCCATGTTTGTTTTCTTTCTGAGACCCAGGGGAGCAGCCCCTGAGTTGCCTCTTTGGGTCCTTGTCCTGAATTTCTGTCTCTGGTCTCCCTAGTTCTCTCATGTCCCTACTCCTGAAGTGAGGAGTGCCACCTGTAATGCACCCTGCATTTCAAATCTTGGGGGTTGAATTCCATCCAGTGTTTAATGGTCTCAAAATCCAAAACTTGTTTTCAAATTTTTATTGTGTTAAGAACACGTAACATGAGATCTACCCCTTAACGGACTTCTTAGCGCACAGTAAGTACAGTCTTGTGGACTCCAGGTGTGATGCTGTGTAGCAGGTCTCCAGAACGGTCTCATCTTGCTTAACTGGAACCTTATGCCTGTTGGTTAGTAACTCCTCATCCCCCCCTTCCCCCAGCGAAAACTCTTGAGCCCATGACTAGCAGCATGTCAGAAAAGGTAAGTGCATCCTGGCCAAGGGACTTGGGGATGTGAAGTCGAAAGGCCATTCTCTGCAGCTCCCAGATCTTGTTCAGGGTGCAAGGGAGGCTTCACCAGACCCAGGGGTGCTGAGGAGCTAGAAATAGGGTGGATCCGGGGACCAGAAGGGCTTACACCCAGGACTTACTTATCTGGTAGGCTTCAAAAAGATGCAGGGAAGATTGCAAACTTTAAGACAAGAACTCCTAAGAAAAGAGAGCTGCCCCCGATGGGTACAGTTATGCAGGATGGGTTATGCAAGATAGATATGAGCAGGACCTGTGGAAGCATTGCCATGTCACAGTGTCATGTGACAGCTCAGTCCCAACCTCCACTCCCCTCCACAGGGACAGAGAGCCTTTAGCAGGACAAGGATGAGCTGACCAGAAGCGGAAGCAGAAATAGAAATTGTAGCAGGAGACCGAAGAGGAAAGGGCAGTGCCCCTCCCTTGGCCAGTTGTACCCCATGGGGATAAGGGTGCAGTTCATGAGGGACCAGCGTCCAGGTTTGGTCTGCACGTGTTTTACAGCTGGAGGTAGAGGATTTGGCCTGCGAATGCACAGACACTTAGAGGTCAGTAGGCCATCCTTTGGGGACTCTGAGGGAACAGATCACTGATGCCTCTGGACCTCCTCAGTTAGAGCATCCTGCTGCAGGCTTTGGTCCCAGCCTCATCTCAGTTATCTTCTGTGTAACAAACCACCCCAAAACTATAGAGACTAAGAAAACAATCATTTTTTTTTATTTCCCATGATTTTGTGGCCGTTGGCTCTCCCTCTGGCCTTACCCAGGCTCACTTGTGTGCTGGCTTGGCTGGGGCAGGATGTTCTCAGAGGCCCTACCCACGTGGCCCTTCACCCTGGGTGTCCCCCTCAGCATGGTGGTTTCAGGGCTCCAAGAGGACTTGCAGCAGAAGCCCCAAGGCTTCTTAAGGCCTAGGTTCTGAAGTGGGGAGCTTTGTGTTGAAGGCATGTACACTAGGTTTGTTGAGGCCTCCCTGTCTTATCGATCACCTCTCCCTCAAATGCAGGTGGGGATATTTAATGTCCACCCTGATATTCCAGAAGTCCTTTCAGCTGCAGCCAGAGCCTTCCTTTCACGCTGTTTTGAGCCAGAACCCCACAGACGTGCCACTGCCACTGACCTGCTCAAAAACAGTTTCATAAGCCAGGTGAACAAATGCAAGAAGACCCAAACGGCTCTCAAGCCATCAGGTGAGGCCTACCAGGACAGCTGGGTGAGCTGCTGGGCCCCTGGATTCTGTGTTGAGAGAACGATAGCTCTCCAGAGTGCTGAGTGAGCCCATACCGCACCCATTTTTGTGAAGAGTGGGGTAGTGCAGCAGGTGTGGGGTTGTGAAAACACAACCAATGAATGTCCCTTGATTTCCTGATGGAGATGGAGAGAGCCCCACAGGTGACAGTGACGTCTCACCCGCAACCTTGTAAAAGTCTTTTTGGGGATTGTGTCAAGGAGGGAAGCCAGAGGGGGGCCCTGGCTGGGGTTTTGTGTCTTCCCCACCTGCAAGGCATAGCACTTCATTTTAGGAGCCTAGCCTGTTGTGCGGCTCCTTACCTGGATTAAAGGGCATGTCTGGAGTTTGCCTGTAGTGGCTGTCCTGCAGTCCACTGTAATCAAGCAATGTCTTCTAAGGCAGTAAGTCCTACTGGCAGGGACCTAAGAATGGCCCCTGAAAAGGAAGCCATTCGTTTTTCCTTGGTGTGGCTAGGGTCTGAGGCAGAACAGAGTGCCTCAGCATATTGATCCCAGAGCATGACTAGCTACATCAGTGTTGCCCACAGGCTGGTCAGAACCCAGAGCCTTAGGCCTATCACAGACATGGTGAAGCAGAAACCACATCTTACCAGGATCCTTGGGTATTTGTACCAGTTAGAACAGCGTAGGCTTACAGAGAGCCCCAGCATGGGTCCTCGCTCAGCCTCCTGTCTCCCTCTTTGAGCTTCCCCACCCCGGCATTTTCTCTCTCTGAGCCTCTCCCCAAGCATCCTCCCTTTCTTAGCTCCCCCTTTTGCACCCTCCCTCTCTGAGCCTTCCCCTGCCTCTCTTAGCCTCCTCCCCTTCATCTTTGCCTTCACACAGAGGATTTCCAGTCCATTGCCCCAGCTCTGGACATGGGTGAGTGCATGGACCACAGCAGCAGGGAGTATGATCCTGAATCCCTGGAGTTGGATGACCAGCCTGCCAGGTCCATCGACACAGTCTGGGAGCCCAAGTATGATATCTGCCACCTACTCAGGTATTGCCTATCCTGTCCTTTCACTGTTGGCCTGTGAAGGCTGCTCATTTGGGGGGAGGGGTGGGCAAAATACCCTCCAGGTCAAAATCAGTTGGATGTGAAGGACTTTTGCTTCCTTTCTGCTGGATCTATAGGGTGTCAGGTGACCAGCAATGGGAGGGGAGGGTGTGGTGTATTCTTTTACAGGTCTCCCCTCTCCCTTCTTCCCTTGTTCCCTTCTGTCTCCTCTGGCCCTCTTTTCCCACCCCCTCCTTCCTTACCGCTTCTACCACCTCAGTTTCCCCTCATTCTCCCTTTCACTCCCTCCTCTCCGTCCCACCTCCCTTCCCCCTCCCCCTTTCCCTCCCTCTCCCAACACTGCTGGTAAGGAGGATAGAAAACACACTGCGTCTCTCCTCCATCCGCCTGCGTCCTGTAATTTTATCTTCTTGAAGGCGAGACTGCAGAGTCAGCTCTCAGTCCCTCCCCTCTGGTGTCTTAGAGGCTTTTCCAGGGATGTGGGGTTGTCTGTCACCTGTATTTGTCCTTAGTATTCCGGATGACGGCTGTGGCTTGGAAGACCAGTTCACAATCTTGTACCCTGAGAACAGGGAATCAGGCTTCTTCCTGCTGAACGAAGATGAGGAGTGCCGTGCCATCCTGTACAGAATCCTCAGGGAGGAGCAGATGCAGCTGGTTACCAGGCTGCAGGAGTGCGTGGCACAGGTACAGGCTAGGGGGAGCATGTACAGGTTCCAGAACAGGGCCAGTGGGACCAAAGTTTCTGCTACCCTGGAACATTTGCAGTTACAGTAGTCACAAGTATTTCTCAATGTTCATCCCTTCAACAAACAAAAGAAAATACAAAGGGGGGAAAAAAAGAACTCCACCGAAACCAGTTTGTGGAACACTGTGGTGAATCTAGACATGGACAGGGTGGTGCTGCCCCCTGGTGGAAAACAAGCCCAATGGCAGCACAGAAAGCCCAGGGACTCCCAGCCTTTGACCTGCTCTGGGAGAACAGCCACCTTAGGGAGAAAGGTTATAGATGAAAATACTAAAATTATAACTCAGATAACAAAAGGTCCTTTTTGGAAGAGACCATTCCTTAGGGGGCTTAGTTGTATGTGTACAGGCCAGTGAGGAAAGAGGCCACATAACCCTGTAACAGGAAAGATGGAATTTCAGGAAGGGAGGCCCCATCTCACCTGAGGTGTCCACAGTTCCTTAGTGAATATATAATAGACAACCTAGTTAATCTAATTTCCCACAATACTTGAATTTTCCTTCCTCTCTGACTTAATGAACATGATTTGTGTGTGTGTGTGTGCGTGTGTATGATCAGAGTTCAGAAGAGCTGTACCTCTCAGTCGACCACTTCAAGCAAATAATTAGGTTCTTGAGGGACTTCGTCCACTCCCAGGAGCTCAAGGTGATGGCATCCATGATATCAAAGCTAGAGGTGGACCTGGAATTTGAAAGCCCAGCCCTTGGTCAGATTCAGCTGGTATTGTTTGGATTTCACAATGCCGTAAGTACTATATCTGGCCCCACGAACATGCCAGAAGGCAAGAAGCTCACTGAAACAGCTTATAACAAGCCCACGGAGTTCAATTACCATCTTCTCTCACAGTCCCCATTCCTTTTCACCTATTTACTCCTGAATCCATGTTTCAGAAGTTCCTTCTAAACACTGAATATGCCAATGCAGGTGCCCGGGCCAATGGCATTTGGCTACAAATAGCAGGAGCGTAGAATTTGAGGACAGATATTCTCTGCCAGCCAACTAGGTTTGGGGTTGAAGCGTATGTGCCTGCCCAAGCAAGCGTGAGTTGTTTCAGGTCCAAGACCATGTCTGGGTGAACTTTGTGTCAAGTGCCCAGCACAGAGCCTGAAGCTTCAGAGTTAATCAGCGGTCAGTGAGTAAGCAATGAAGAGGCCCAGTATGATAGATGTGATCGCTGTGCCCATCTCCTGGACCCCAGCACAGTTGGGGTCAGCTTGGAGAAAGACTCAGACCAGAAGAAATGTGAGTAGGGCAGAAATCCAGAGCAGCCTAGTTAATGCTGTGTCTCAGAGAATAGAAGCAAATTAGAATTAGTAAGAAGTCACATTTTTTTAGAAGTACAGTGGGCCAGAAATGTGGATTTTTGTGATTTATAGGTAAACGAAATTTTGAGAACGCACTTAAGTCACCGCCACATGATGTTTACAATGGACAGCATCGTCCAGGAAGCGGTGCTGGCTGCACTCAACATTCTCTTCCCAGGTAAGTGCCTGCTTCTCAGTCAGGGTCAGCTTCAAACTATGGAAAAGACCAGAAATGTCCTCTGCACTCAACAGTTGTCACATTCTCTTTCTTGCCTTGGCTATGCTTCCTTGTAATAAAGTAATGTGGTCGTAGGCCTTTTGGGGCTAAGATTCTGTGATTCTAAGAATTTATCCTGGTGCTGTATTTCTGTGCTCTGTGGCCCTAACCAGACTAAACTTGTGATCTCAAAGTGAGCATAGATCCTACAGTGCATCCTTAGGAACACCTGCTGCTGGTTGATGATTTAATGGCTCGATCCATCTCCTCTCTCAACATGGTGTGGTAGCTCTAGATTTTCTTAAGATTTTATTTATTTATATTTTAGAGAGGGGAAGGGAAGGAGACAGAGAGGGAGAGAAACGTCAATGTGTGGTTTCCTCTTGCACATCCCCTACTGGGGACCTGGCCCACAACCCAGGCATGTGCCCTAGACTGGGGACCGAACTGGCAACCCTTGGGTTTGCAGGCTGGCACTCAAGCCACTGAGCTGCACCAGCCAGGGCTCTAGATATCTTTTGCTTTTGTTGATTCTGTGTTAGATTTGCTCAATACCCAAGTTGATTGTCTTTCATTGGTGACTTCTTTTTACAAAGGAAGGCTTGCAACACTTGTGTCAACACTGCCACTTCCTCTCTGGACTTCGTTCCCTGTCTTTCTGCCTGCTCCCCTGAATGCACAGGAGCTGGCACAGCTTCCCTCCGAGGCTCCTTAATCCCCAGGACTGCATTACTCCCAACTCCAAGCAGGCAGTTTTTTGTAGTAAAAGTACACGGGCCAGGTCGGAAGCCTAGCTATACCTTTTAAAAACTGTCCTTTGCTAACTAATTTAACATCTTTAAGATTCAGTTTCCTCATCTGTAAGAGAGAGGGGGCGGGGAGGTGATCACCTTTGCACTGCAGAGAACTGAGTGAAATAGTTCCTCTCCACTTATAAAATCATAGTCCCAATAGAGTGTCTCATTGGCAGGGCTAGCTTCCGAACAGCCTTGTTTGCTGGCACTGGACGTAAGCTACACAAGACCATGGCCTTGTTGAACTGTAGTCCTTCTTTCATGATTTCGCAGAGCTCCAAGACGACCTAGAGCCCACCTCCAACACAGAAGAGGTGAATAAGGACCTGGGTGAGGTGAACCAGGACTCTCCTCCAGCAGACGCTCCCAGAAGTGAAGCACATGAGATACCAGGAGGGGCCACCCCCACTTCAGCACTTGTCCAAGACGCCCCGCCCCAGGAGCTCTACCAGCAGGACCTGAAGTTGGAGCTGGAAAATCTCAGGCAGGAGTCCAACAGGTCAGCAGGGGTGGGACAGTGACCTGGACCAGCAAGGCAATCAGTTTAGTTGTTGAGTATCTCAGAAAAACGGTCTCAGAAAAACGTCTTCACCACCAAGGAACTGGGCAAAGGGGTATCCTCAACTTCAACAGGCAGATTTAAATGCCTTCCCTTCTTTAATATTAGAATCCAAGTATAGTACCTTGCCACAGGTCACACAGCATTTATCCATATTAATGGCAGCAGCATCTTGGACTTGTGTCTTTTTGCCACATTGGGCCCGTGGCATGGCCTGTAGGTCCAGCAGTATCAGCAGTGGACAGCTGCAGCCCACCCCTGCAGCAGTCGCCAAATTGAGGATTGGTTAGCACTTTGCAATGGCTTGTGGCCCTTAACCCTGACCCTAAGGAAGTCTGCTCCTCCCTCTTTGAATCTTTGTGATTTGTCATGATCCCTAGGTGGGCAGACTGCCCCCTCCTAGCCAGGGGACCCTGGCACTGTTATGATTGTCCCCAAAGAGCAGGTCTGTTTTATTCACTTCTTGACACATTACTGGTGCTCAAAAATTGTTAAAGGAATAAAGTGATCCATTTGTCCTGGGGAAATCACATCATCAATGGTCTTATGAAAAGTATAAGCCACAGCTATAGCAAACTCGGTACTGGTCCCCAGATCATGCTTTTTTGTCATATGGTCATCTGTAATGCTGATTAATAGTCAGCTGGGGGAGATGCCAGGTGTAAATACTTTGGAAGAAAAGCGGCACACAGCCCTAGGGATCTGTGATGTTTAATCTCAAGCAAATCTAATCATTTTTTAGAAAGACCTGGAGCTTTAATGAACTGGTGGTGGTGGCAACATTTTTTTAAGTTTTCAAACTGTAACAAATGAGAAAGTTGATAGTAGTACCACTTTTTAAAAAATATTTCTGGTAAAGCTTATAATCATCAATTCAAAAAATGTTGTATATAGGTCCAAAGGTTATTCTTCCCCACTGTTGAATTGGCAATTAAATGGCCGCCACCACTGACTGTGAATCCTTGACAAGCATGAGTCCCTACAAAGTGCACCTGTCCTTGTGATATGGCGGTGCCTTCGCTGTTGTTGCAAAGCAGGAAGATGGCACCTACTGCCCGAAGGGGTGTTGCCTGGGGATAATGGGTCTGTGTGAGTGTGAGACCAGTTCCTGTGCCATGTTCACAGTCCTGGGCTCCCTGTTGGGCTGCAGTAGGCTCCTCCCACTTTCACAGCAGCCTTTCTCACCATCCCCCAGGTGTTCCGGCAGGTGTAAGGCTTCTAAACTTCCTTGGTTTCTCCCCCTCGGGAGGAGGAAAGAACCTGAACAATAGTTTCAGTGACTTGATCTGACTTAGGGAGGAGACAAGATGAAGTTATCAGATCATTCTGGCAGAGTTCTGCTGGGGTTATCTTTTGGTTCATGACTCATCTTGAGAAAATATACTCCTGCCCTGAGCACTGGTCCGTATTCAAGGGGAGGAAACATGAGGAATTTGCCCATTTGCAGGCTGAAACCTGATGAAGAAACTAGACTATTAGGATCATGACACTTTTTTCAATCTTTAATGTTCAACAGAGGTTTGAGTTGAATTGAATGGTGTTAAGACTCTCTGGATGATGGCTTTTTGTTTTTAACCAGAATTTTGAAAGAGCTACTTCAAAAAGAGGAAGAGCGCCAGAATCTTCCACAGCAAGACGAACAGAAAACTCAGGAATCGTCTCACCTTCAGTCACGATTACGTGATGGTGAGTGACTTTCCACTTGCTGATTTATGTGTGTGAGAGAAAATGTTTAAAAGCTAATATTCTAGTCAACCTTGGCACAATTGAGATTATTCTCTATTAAACCAGTAAGCACTTCAGTAGATTCTGGAATCTTAATCAAAGTAACTACTGGTGCATTCAAAAACATGATCGCAGATGTGTTATGCTGAAAGGAAGATTCAAAAGGCTCCATAATATGACTCCATAAATATAGAATGTTTATACAATATTCTGCTAAAGGCAAACAGAATGGGTGGGGAACGATAAAGACCACGAGAACTTTTTGGGGCGATGGAAATTGCCCTATCTTGGTTGTAGTGTTCACATGACTGCTTGTCAAAATTCACTGTGCTGCACACCTACAAAAGGGTGCTTTACTGCATCACTGCATGTTGCACCTCAGTGAACCTGCCTGGTTCATTTTGTGCTGCTCAAACAGGGCTGCCGCTGGCTAGCTCTTGGAATGTGAATGGATGAGGTCTGGCACAAAACCTCCCTAGAACCTATTTCCTCCTTTGAACCTCCAGTGCAGTTAGGGATGTGACTCCCGAGAAAAGACATTTTAAAGATGAGAATAAGCATTCAAAGCGATAGGCAGATAACCAAGTTCCAAACTAACTAAAGGTCAAAGGTAAGGATTATTTCAATCTGTGGAGAGTGAATCCAAGAACTGTGGACTGTTGTACAATGTGCATTAGAGCCGCTGAGACAGGTTGAATTCATGGCCTTTTCACATCACATACACATTCTGGAATACTTTATTTCGTCCAACTGGTGACTTTTATTAAAGTTTTACTGTTACACATCAATACACAATAGGACAAACTTCTAATTATTACAGAGACCCCAGCACCACCTCTTGGGTTTTGTGGACAGAGACCAGATCAAGAGCTTGTAGGCTGGTTGCAACTACAAGGAGCAGATGCCAATACCATCGAAAAGGTAAATTTATAGCCAAGAAAACCATTCCTATGCTATTATTACAAAGATGCTTAACTCCTATGTATTTGATCTTTATTTCAGATCGTTAAACAGGGTTATACACTTTCTGATATCCGTAATAAGGTCACTAAGGAAGACCTCAGATACCTCAGACTGTGGTAAGAACAGCTTCACAACACTTTGTACAATAGAAAGTTTTTTTCATGTGATTATGCTTTTAAACAAAGTTATAGGAAACAAAGTGATACTGCCTTTCCCTCTTCATTGAAGTTAATTCCCTTTCCTATGGCTTAGTCAGAAAAATGCCAAACTCTGTGATTTTTCCAGGTTCAAGTTGGGAGTAAAGCCAAAAGGCAGCACTAGCTATAAAGGCTCCATAGGAAAAGTCAGAAGTAGGATGGTGAAAGGGAAGCATCTCTCCCCCTTCCATGCTACAGCCAAACCCCTCTTTAAATTGCAGCCTGCATTCTAGTTCCCATGTCATCTTAAAAGGGCTGCTCTACACGCATCTGCCAGCACACCTAAAGATGCAGTGGAACCTCGGTTCTCCAACTTATTAATCCGTTCTGGAAGGCTGTTTGAGAAGCAGTTTGTTTGAAAACAATCTCCTTTCTCACCTGAGAGACGCATAACTGATCATACAAGTATCAGCATGAAAGGGTTGTTGGGTCAAGAACCTAGAACTGAAGTTTTGTTTGACAGCCGAGGTCTGACTATACCTCTAAGGCCAGGTCCCACTCTTGCTGGGGCACGAGTGTCACCTCCATACATGAAAACAACACATTCCTATCTTAGCTAAGTTTTCAACACCAAGTGGCAAATCTACACAAGCCTAGAGTTATATACTACACTTTTTGCCATAGGGGCTCCTAAAGAAGTTTGACTCTAAAGACGACTCTTGTTTGTTTCGTAGTGATGAGCTCCTCTGCAAGCTCTGGACTGCAATCGCCCAGTACAGAGAACAGACTCAGGGGGCCACGGCTACCCAGGATGAGGCTTAAGCGGTCAGCTAAGCTGGAGAACAGAGGGAGCAAGGAGCCAACATCTTTCTTGTTAAAGCTTCTCAGACAGAAACAAAACACCATGAATAATTCAAAAACTTCAAGTTCTAAAGAGTTAATGAAATGTTTGTTTTCACCTGTTATTAATCAGCGTGTGTTCTGTACCTTTTATCAACATGTCTTATGCCTGTTTATCAACATGTTTTAAAGGTGAGTAGAACTATATTTTGAGAACAGTAATTGTGAGCCCCCGTTTTGACATCCAGAGTATTATGGAATTCTTTAAAAAAGTGTTTTAACTTACTGTTTTAGGTTATACATTAATAGTACTTGGTTAACTGCATTTGAAACGATTTTCTCTTCCACTTTGTTTTATTGAATGTGTAAATGCAGATAACTAAGTTATTTGGCCCTTGAAATGACTGTGGAATTGTCCTTCTACCCACTGCCTGGTTATATAGTAAATGTTGTTATATTAAGGAGCAATGGTAGCGAGTGTGAGCAGGCTTCCACCACTGACACACACACTCATGGAGGCATGTGTGCGCACATTAAGGAACACTGTGTTAGCTGTGGGGTTGGGCCCGAGACAAGTGAATGAGCAACTCCCAGGCATACAAAGAATTGTTTTTCCTTTCAGTAACTAAAAAGTACTTATTAAAATAGTGAACAACTAAATAGAGCAGAACTATTTTAAGGAAATAATATGAAGGAAGGCTGTATTACCTATATAGACCTATACAAATCTAACATAACCTCAATGCAAAACTGTATAAACTGCATGCAATTACTATTTTAAATCTACATATGTTCTGTGGGTTTTCCCTCCTTCACAAAGTTGAGAACAAAAGTTCCTTACAGTTGCTGTCAAATAGCCCACTGAAGGTATAGCCATCCATTACACGCAGTCTCCCATTAACTGACAGACTTAAACTTGATCCACTGATTTGCACCACGAACTTCAAAAGGTGGATCATTGGAGTAGATGTGATAGCCTAGTTCTTCCAAAGGTGGCTCAGGATCAGCTGTTGCAAATTGGGCAGCGTCCTCAATTTCTTTCCTCACTTCAACATCAATTTCCTAAAAAAATCAGATAACAGTTTAGGTACCAACTAGTTCTACTCAGATCCTGTCACTAGTCTAATTCTTCTAGTACTAGAAATACTAATAAATAGCTGCTACTTTCAAAGATGTAATTTTTTAAACTAAGTGACACAATGATATATACCCAGGAATATTTTATAGTCTAGACATCAACATTTAAATATATATGTATATCCTGGCAAGGGAACACTTACTTATGAATCACAACAACAAAAAAACATACCCAAAGCCTACTTCTGAGAAAAAAAAATTGTGCTCCCGGGGGCGTTTAAAAGCTTTGCCAATACAACTGATTAATGTCCTGTGATAATCCTTTCCCATGCGGTAGTTCACCCAGGAGTGGCAGGTGTGGAGAAAAGTTGATTTGCTTAGACAGGAGACCACACTTTTAAACCAAGAGTGACAGACAGTACCTTTAATTCTTCAACACTGGCAAGGTTGCTGTTCACCATTCTATCCTTGAGAAGCATAATAGGGTCACTCTTGCTTCTTACTTCCTGAATTTCTTCTCGTGTACGGTAACTACATGGAAGCAAACACAGAAGTAGGTAAGAACAGTCCCAGTGTAGCAAAAAGTTCTGTGACATATGAAACATTCTACATATCTTAACATGTAGTAGATACCATATATAGTAGGGATTTTCACAGTGCTTTCTATACTGGAACCAATTTATTGGGAAACACTGCTTTCCTGCCAACACTCAAATAATTACTTTAAGCCAACTGGTGTCTGGCTTCAAAAGCAAATGTTGAAATGCTTTGCTTTTTTCATGTGAATAGCACCATTCAAAGCGCACCCTACTTTAGACACCATGTTCGTATTTCCCATGAACATACCTGACTCCAGGATCACTCATGCTGTGTCCGTGGTAACGGTAGGTCTGCAGCTCCATCAGTATGGGCCCCTAAAACAGAACCCAAGGGAGACTAGGTAAGAACACAGGTACAGCACACCAACAATCCATGGCCTCAAATGCACACTCTTTCAGGATCAAACATATTCTCATCAGATCTATAAATCAGGTGAATTGTTGGAATTTCTTACTGACTGATTCTAAAGTTATCTGTTCTCATGTAGAATACTGACTGCGTGTTTCATCCTTCTCATTTTAAACAGGAACCTGTCCCAGTTTGTTTGGAATCAAAAATCAAAAAGGCTTTTACATGTTACAGAACCGACTGATGTTCAATAAAGAGTTGTTTGTTTCATCCGCTGCGTCTGTCATACAATCCTTTCAAAACAGCTTAGGTTGAAGGAAGAAAAACCTAGTGTCGAAAGAGGTATGGCAGCAACAGAAGGATGGCTTTTATCTTCAGGGTCACTAGGCTAGTCTTTTTCCCCCAGTCACAGGTGACATATATAAGCATTTTGATCCTTTTTAAACACCAGAAGAAATATTGATATAAACTCGAACAAAATAAGATTAAAAGCAAACCTCTATGAGTGCTGGAAAGTACAGAAGGGTGGGAGAACTAAAGATAGGCTGGGGAGGTAAATTTCCACCTCACACCCATTTCAGGCAGTGTTTCATGGGCTGGCAACCAATCCTGCTGCGCACAGATCCGGCCAGTGTGTAACAGGAAGCTGGCAGGCACCATGACACTTGACCCCATGCCTCCGCTGGGAGTCTGGCTGGCCCAGCTACCACCAGGTAGGTCACTCATGCTACATTAGAGCTCCCTACAAGGCAACAACTTTGAACACAGAGGGGAGGGAGGTGGATCTAGGATCCCTGGGCAGTTTGGTATAGCAGTTAAAAAGGGATACTGAGTCCAAGTACTTGGGACCCAATCCTGATGGTCATATATGGTACGTATGTACCCATAAGTGTTGTTCTGTGCCTCAGGTTTCTTATCTACAAAACAGTAATAATCTCACAGTTGTGCCAACTAAATAAGATACTACATAAAAAGTACTTAGTGTGTTACCTGACATATGTCAATCCCTCAATAACTGTCACCTCTTCTTTCTGTTATGTCATCCACCAGCAGCCATTTGGAAGCACTTAGCATTGGGCTAATAAGCAGGTTGTGATAAGGGGTTCAGGCCCTGGGTGGTGGGTACCATCTACCTCCCTAATTCCAAGACTAGGCTTTGGTCAGGCTGGAAGTCAACACATGCTAAATACCACTGACCCTGTTTCCACATGGGACTGGGAACCACATCTTTTGGGTACTGGGAGAGAGGTAGATGGTACCTACCACCCAGGGCCTGAACCCCTAGTCCCTCAGTCCTGATGTAGACCGCTGAGCCCACTGGCACCAACCTGCCATCTTCATCACACTCTCCCTTATTCTTGTTTTTTCTTAAGTGCTCTGCATGTCCCTGGCTCCTTTACCCCCTTCCTTCCATTTTCATCACCACTAACCAAATCTTACTTATGCTACCACCCAAACACGCACACACACAGGAGCCTGAGTCACTGAAAGGGGAACCTCGGGGCTTTCTGGGCTGCAGAACACTGACCTAGGGAAAACGCCTTTCCAGGAACACTGATGGCACATCCTCTTGTTGGGCCAAGCTCTCTGTGCCCCTCTCCACTGTGTAACTTAAAGGTCAAGATTCTTGAGGATTCAACAGCAAGACTAAGGTTACGTACTTAAATATTACATCAGCAAAGTTCTCCAGTGAGCCTTGCAGGGGTCCCCAATCTATTCATTCAATGAGCTTATAATTACTAGGGGTTTGGAGGCACATAATTAACCAAACCCAAAGGCAAACTAGATATAAAGTGCCACGATGAAGACCAAAAGAAATGATGAAGACAGACAAAATGCTGAGGAAGCACTAGAAGAAAAACTTTACCCCAATTGAGGCAACATAAAATGTTTCCCAGGAGGTAAGCTACCAAGATGACACTATTTATGAAGGGACCTCATTCACTTCACCGGACTGTTTCTATCTTACACACTTGAGTTGGCACTCACCCCTGCATACTTACGATAGACATGGAGAGGCATTCTTTTAACTTTTAGGTAAACATTAGAAATCTTTTGTCCAGAGGCCTATGAAAAAGTCTTACCTTTCCAGCTCTACAATGGGCTGCTGCAAACTTTGTTGCCTCCCGGACACACAAGACATCCATTCCATCTACCTGTTAATACATGGGAAAGGGGCAGAGCATCAATCAAACTGCCTAAAGCCATTTTAATTCTATACCAGTTGTTCCCACACTAAGAAAGAAAACAACTCTTCAATTTATCTGAAACTGTCTAGTGCACTGAGCAGCAAAGGTATGGCCCCAGCTCTATGACCGGTATCCTTACCCTCAGCCCAGGAATGAAGTCACCTCTCTTGTAGTAATCAGTGCTGGCTGCTGCTCTCTCAACAGATGTCCCCATTCCATAGCGGTTATTTTCACAGATGAAAATACAAGGTAATTTCCACAAAGCTGCCATGTTATAAGCTTCAAATATCTGCCCCTGGAAGTGTGTAAAAATTGAAGTGGTTTCATTTTGCTATTTTTCTCTAGACTTCATTATCCCAACAGCTGCTGCTGCTGTACCTGGCAGAGAAAGCTTTCATAAAGGATAAAAACCCTCATCTTCTACAACCAAGTTTTTGAGAAAAGGACTGCAAATTAATCTAATGGTGAAGTAAGAGTAGTGGTTAACTCTAGTGGGTCCAGGTGGGCGGTATTGACTGGGAGGAGAGACATAAAAGATCTTCTCAGGTATAGGAGGTGTTGTATATTTGGATCTGGGTGGCATTTAAACATAAAATCATCTTCTCTGTTTGGGGGGCGGGTGTCAGAGAAGCAGCAAAAGTTATCTTTTGCAGCTAAGGGAAGTGAAAAACCAAATACTGCCACCACTTGCTTCTGGGAGGCCAAGGCAGTAGTATAGACTATACCAAAGAAAAAAGAATGAACATGGAAAAATGTGTGGCTACCTTG